AAGGCCTGAGGCCTATATCGGGTAAAGGCCCTTTTAGAACTCTCTCTCTCCCTGTGTCCAGTACTAACCTGTGAAGTTGGCGCCTTGATGCAGGTACCACGAAGCTGGAGCTGGAGCGATGGCGCCACAGGTAAGTAACACTGGCCTCCGCCAGTCTCTCTCCACTCTACGATCTACTACCTACCAGCGCCCAGCGCTGAAGACTACAGCTACAGCTATGGCGCCCAGCGCCGAAGACTACAGCTAGCGCTACCACTACTGCCTAGCGCTGAAGACTACTGCAGCGCTCCTCCTGAGTGCTGCAGCCGAATCCTCAAGACTACTTCTGCCTACTGACTACCTACCCGTGAAGTGCATGGGAACCTCCTATGTACTACGGGTGTGCCTCTTGAGCGTGCCGAAGGGAGGCAGGGGCTGCAGCTGCAGCTCCTGCTCGAGTACGTGAGGAACAGGCTATTTTGGGCCTGTTCCGCATCCCTGTTTCCGTGCCTGAGTCTTAGGAGCAGGTCGAAACAATGAGGGCCTGAAAATGGCCCTCCGTTTCAGGCTGAAAACTCTGGGTCTGAAAAGACCCAGAAATAGGCTGAAACGAGGTAGGGCCTGCAGGCCCTCATTTTTCAGCATCCAGGCTGAAATGAACGGGGCCTGTAAGCCCTAAGTTTTAGGCTTTTAGGCTGAATGTTCGGGACGGGCCCTGTAGGGCCCGTGTGGCTACGCAGTATGCCACAGTGAGTGTATGGTCTGTGGGTGCGCGTGTGCGTGTCAGTGCATGCATGTGTGTGTCAACTCCGACTCATAGCACAAGAGGCTAGGAACCTCACAGAACGCTGGCGTACGACTGTTAAGATCACAAGTCGCTACATACATCCGGTCTTACACACTCTGTTATGGGGAGGTCCATGGAAGTTTCCTTCCAATGCCCGTTATCCACATGATCCTTACCCAATGGGAAAACCTCTTCCAATCTTCAAGAAGCACCAAATGTTGCATCCGAGGACGGAGCAAGCAAGGGGTAAAGTAAACAATCTCCAAATGCCAACGCAGCAGGGAGCCTATATACGAAGTTAAATAATTGCATTCATAGAGGCAAGAGATGGCATACACCGAGTTTCAAAAAAAAACATAGAAGGATACACTCCACAATCATTCCAGGCGCCCGGGCACCCAACTTATGCCCGGGTACACGCCCGGGTGCACGGCCGGGCATGAGCCCCGGGCAGGGTTCCGGGCAGTTCCAGCGCAAAAAAAAATAAAAAAAAATAAAAAATGTTGTGTTTATTGAAATACAAGACTTTTGGCTGACGGTCACATTATAATTCCTCATAGAATCGGAGAAAAAAAGGAAATAACAGAATCACACAAAGGCACACCCCTTTAGCCCCTTTAAAACCAATTTATACCCCCCCCCCCCCCCCCCTCGACAGCCAACTCACGAAAAAAGAAACGAGCCCGGATTTGGGGGCATCTGGGAGAGCGCAGAAAACCAAAAAAAAAAAAGAAAAAAAAAGGTTAAAAAAACCTCTTTCTTTTTTCTTTTTTTTTTTCAAGCCCGGGTGCCCGGCCGGGCGTGAGAATCTTCCTAGGTACAAATGCGAAATGAAGTGGCATAGTTATATTCTCGAGTTGTCAATGGTTAGTGCCCACGATGGTGTCAAAATTGTCTTCACACTACCCCGTCATTTGTGAAGTTGCAATCTCTGAAGTCATGGCATGTAGTTAAGTGAGGATAGTCATGGCCCACAAAAGCCACCTGATCCTGCCAGTCTACTGATGGGTGCACTGCCAATATAGTTCACCAGTCCAGGGAGTCCTAAGTTGGCGAGTCGAAGTCCGCCAATCGAGACAGTCTAGAGAATCAGTCAATCTAGTCTGTCAATGCAGAGTCCTAAATCCAGTCATTGCGATTTGGCTTGGGAGATTGAAACGACTTTCGGCACCAAGTTTGGTGGGAAAAGATGACCTTCACATCCCTCCCCCTAGGACATGACAAAAAGTGTTCCTCCCCTCGCCCAGGCAGGCCTGGATCTCAGAGTTCAGGCTGCCTCCACTGGATCAGCAAATCACAAAAAGGGCGTGGACGCAACTGAGGTCTCACAAGCAAGCATGAAGACCCACGCATGTGCGCAGGCCAGCGGACCATGCCACCCTTGCACTAACATTCCTGGATGGAGAGTTCATGCAAAAACAAATAACATCTCGTTTCCTTCCCTCCGAACGTAGGCTGGCTTAGGCAACAAAGAGTCAAGTGGGGTAGAGAATAAGAATCCTTTGGTAAGGCATTAGGGGAAAAGGGCTTTCGGGATAGAACGGTTTGCTTGAGCAAAGGCTAACTTCTTTGCATCCAATCTTATTATTCTAAGATGGTTCGTTGTCCTCCATCCTTCATCCTTCCAAGACCAGCAACACGATGTTCTCTGCACAACCAACAATATAATCTATCAACTTATCCTCTTGAGATCCCCAATGTATATTCCTCTTCCTTGAGGCAAACTCACCAGCACAATTAGTCAAACAACATGCACAGCAAGCTTGAGGTCAACACAGGTGGGATATTACATAGGAGATCAAGCAACAGTTTTTCATCATCCATTCGCACAAGTAACTAGCCATCCATCCTTCATTCCATTACCATTGACCGATCCGTTATGCAAGTCTAGGGTGCAGTTAGAGTCCACCCAACCTGATTTGTAGCAAGCTCCTTGAGTCCACTTCAGATATCAGAAGTCTGTTTTTTCCCATGGCCGTGCACGTCTTTCTTTTCTTTCTTCCTCTCTACGTGGTGGCACAAGGAGCTGACGGCCCGCTTCTTGGGTGCTTCTTCCACCAAGTAGGCAGTGAGTTTTTAAAGCTCATCCCCAATAGTCTGGTAGAAGGTGTGGGTGTGTGTGGGTGTGGGTGTGTGTGGGTGTTTGTGTGTGTTAGAGAGAGAGAGAGAGAGAGAGAGAAGCCCAGGCCTAGGAAAAATCTTAGTTTCCGAAGTAGGCTAGGAGCCTGGATTGGATGACGAAGGGGGAAAAATCAGCGTGTGATACGCAACCTCACACCACGCGCGGCGTCCTGTACCTGTGGGAACGCCGGTCAGAGTAATTGTGGGCGTGGCTGAGGATTTTGGGTGGGGGTTGAACCGCCAGGGCGAAACTGGGGTTCTTGCCTCAGTCCTCAAGGTCGTTTCAGAAACTCTGGTCAACTGGGACCACCGCGAAATTCCTAAATTTAGAAAAGCGTAGAAGGGCGTGGCATGTACTTTTTTTAAGTTTTTTCTTGTTTTTTTTTTTTTTTTGGTCTGATATGTACGTGCTTTAGGATAATCTGTATTCAGTTTCGGCGTATTTGGACCAGTAACAAAAAAGTTGGCAAAAAAAACACCTGGCTCGAAGAAAGATTCGGCGAACTCCGAAAGCTACTCCGAATAGGGTTTTATAGTGCTCTTGATTTTTGTTATTTTTTATTTTGACCCTGCGTAGTTTGTTCGCAAAAGTTTCGACAACATTGCTTCTAGGCATGCGGCGAAAAACCCGGAATTTTGGGCCTTCCATTAACCACTAGTGGAGACAGGGGACACTCTAGGCATCCGAGTCAGGTCCACAGAGCCCGTCCTATCGGTTTGATCCCTCGCCATCTGACCGGGGTGGGGGCAGAGGTACCCAGGTCCAGAAGTTCGCGGGGAGAGGCCCCGCATTGCGGGAGAGATCCGGTAACCGGACTGGCCCTTCGTAACCCAGTACCAACCTCCAGCAGGAGCACGAGTTTCGCAGCCGACACCGATGACAGTTAAACTGAGGCTTCCACGCGGTGTGGGCCGCAGACCATGGAAGCACTGGCAAGTCCGTGTAAGGCAAAAACAGCAAGGGGGAGGAAACCCCTATATGGCACGGGTTATAAAAGTGAACCCAATCGGTCCGCATCACAGTAAGGACCGTCCTCATCTGCAATGGGGAAGGGAGGAAGGTTGCTATGGCGGATCGATGGAAGGTTCGAGCACGGGAAGTTACTCGCGCTCATGTTCAGAGCGGTTAACCTCGACTCTGTACAAGTCTTGAATCGTCCTACACCACCCACTCCCTATATCAAGAGGTGACATTCTCAACCAAAATTGTCACCTGGTCAAAACAGCGATTGTCGGGAGGCAGAGAGGTCGGGCGGATTGACTACATCCTCACGCCCGATGTCCCTGGTCGCCTGGGTCACCTGCCCGGGCGAGCGGAGAAGTTGACACGTGGCACTTGCACACGGGAGTGAAGGGAAAAAGGTCGGCGGCAATCTCACATGCGTGCTGGGCGCCCGCTTTCTTTTTAGTACTAATCTGGTTTTCTGGCCTTTGTTTCTCTGATGTGTTGGTGCTTTTCTTTTTTTTTCTTTTTTTTTTCATGCTCTGTGTAGCGGTGTGTGTGTGAGTGAGTGGTGAAGTATAGTTACAAAAGTCATGCATTAAACCATCACTGGCCCCAGTGTATACCAGAGGTTGCCCCAGTATGCATGGGACTGGTGGTAGGGTTGGTAGCGGCCTGGCAGAGGTCTGCCATGCCCACCAAAGAAAAAGAAAAGTCCCACAGCGAAGAAGTGCGACTGCCACAAACTGCTGTTGTTGTCGCTTTTTGAAAGTGGACTCTTAGGGCTTAGGACATCTTTCTCAAAGCACCATGTCAGAAATGAGAATGTAGCTTCTCAGTCTGTCCTTAGGTCCAATTGCTGGATTGGAACTTCCAAGTTAGAGGTTCTTAGTGCTGATGTATGATTCTACAAAAGAGGATCTCACATATTGTTTGTTGGCATCTACAGATTGGACCAGCATGTATTGTTGGCAAGGCTTCAAGCATCGGAGAAAAGTGCAGCATAAAGAAATCCATTATAGGGGCCAAGTGCCAGATTGGAAACAATGTTAAGGTACTCCCATGAGATGCCTTTATTTCTTTGCTCATACATGTTCTTTAGTACTCTGAACTACTTTCTGTCCTTGCCTATGTGCTCTCTAGTACTGTAATTGCCTTCACTGCATATCCTTCATGAATCTCTTGCTGCATATCCTTCATGAATCTCTTGCCCCTCAAGTCTCCTTCACCGTGGCCATCACAGCCCGGGCATCAGTATTAGCCCTTCTACCTCCCCAGACTTTCTGGTAGGTCTGAGAGCAGAAATTGACGCGAGCCCTTAGGTCATTGGTGCAAGCAATCATGATGGTTATCCCAAAGTCTTGGTAATTGTGTTTTGGAGGAGGGCTTGTGGCTTCTAGAGGCGTTTATTGGTTAGCTCACATGTGTTGGGTGGTAGAGTAGGGGTTAGGATCGCTAGCTTCTTTCCTATTTGAATACAGAAAATGCCCTCTCAAACCTCCATATTCCCCTGCCCCCCCCCTCCCTCCCCCTCCAAGTGGAGGTAAGCGGACTTGAACCGCTACCTCAGTAACTTCTCTCTTCGATTTTACCTAGGAATTAGCAGATTAGCAATTACTTCCCCCCGAACGTAGCATACAACTTTCATCGAACAACACTCTCCGTAGGGAATTTAAGATTTGAATGTCCCAATCTATTATTAAGATTTCTTTTCAAGTTCAAAGAATCTGAATCCTTATCTTGAAATTCAAGCTCTCTTTACTTCAGTGAAATTTTGGCAATTCCTAAATATCTCCCTACTACCACNTCCCCCCCCCCCCCCCCCCCCCGCCCCGGACAAAAACAAACTCGGATTAACACTGTTGTGGCAATGTGCTTGGAACCATGCCAATCGTGGGATCCACCTGTTTCTCTCGCTCCATCAGCATCTCCAGCCTTAGGCCGTTTCCTGATTCTCCTGTCTGGGAATTTCCCTCATTGACGCTCCTCCCCTTGCCATTCTTTTGCGGCTTATCCCTTTGAAATCCTGATCGTCAACATCGTTCCTCTGGCTGGTTGCTGTCACCCCCTGTTTCCCATTTTCTCTTTCCCTCCTCTGCTTCCTTGACTTGACCTCCACCTCATGATCCCTGTTTGGGTCAAGGGCGGCTCCTGATTTCCCGGTTCCTCTCACCGGTCCTCTTCGTTGCCTTCTACCATCGAGGTTCCTAGTTGTCACCATCTTTCCTCTTCTCTTCCCTGACTGGCTGCTTCTCCCCGTTGTTCCTCATTTTCTCTTTCCTTCTCAGCTTCCTTGGGGTGACCCCTCCCTCTTGATCATCATCTGGTTCCATGCAAATCAACTATGCTCCAACTCATCCACAGTCTCATTGGGCCTTGCGCCACTACTCACAAAATGCATCAAGTGGTGAGTGTATCTTTCCATTAAAAAAGACTGGTCAGATACTCTCACCAATATTCACAGTCGGCAAGTAGTGGAGCAAGGCCCATAGTCATCGTTCTTGATAAGTCATGTTTTTTAGTAATTCCTGTTTGTCGTCCGGCAGGACATAAAATTGGAATGACACAGAGAAGGCCAGCATGGCCCCTGTGCAAGGATGGCATGCATAGACTGAGAAATGGTCATTAAAAAAAAAAAGTGATTCCTTTTTGTCCCCACCCACACACTGGTTGAGTGGGATCAGCTTAGGAGTAGAGCTCTTCTTGAAAAAAGAAGTCAGAGACAGCCCTTTTTGGTGTAGGACACGTTGTCCTCTGTTGACCAGCCGCTGTGTGAACCACTTCCTTTTTATACGGAATGCCTCCACCTTGTCCCTGTTCACATGAGGTATCTCCTTGTCACATGCACACGGGTCTCCAAAGGGTGGGCTTGTGGAATGTGACTCTGCTAACCTGTATGTTCTCAAATTACCATGCATCAACACAATATGGTATTGCACTTGCAAGTTGGAAGCGGTTGGGTTCACGATTACTAGGGATTACTTTCTTTTACGTTTTCTGACATATAAAGGGCTATGGCGGCTCTAAATTTTGACTTTGTGACGTCAGCTTGTCTGTTTCAAGCTCCAACACTAATCTTCCTGTGATGTGATGTGGTGCTCATTCCCTGCTGGAGTGATTTTGTGTGCAGATCACAAATTCGGTTGTAGCCAATGGTGCGATTTTAAGAGATGGGTGCACTGTTGCCAACTCTGTTATCAGCAGAAACGCCGATATAGGCGATGGAGCCTCAATCAGCAGTTGCTTTGTGAGTTCGTTTTTCGTTCTTGTGTGTGCATGTTGTTGCGGGGGGCACATGCGTGTGCGCCGTGTGATGATGTGTGTGCGCTATTTGTGTTGTCTCATATTCGTTATACAGAGAAAAGCATGACTGTGCTAGACTGTTTCATCGGACTTTCACCGACTCATCAGGAGGTGTGTGTGTGTGTGTGTGTGTGTGTGTGTGTGTGTGTGTGTGTGATGATACGTGTGGGTGTGGGTATGCGCGCACACACATATTTGAGTACTTGTTCTTTTGTGAGGTAATGAGTAACTGACATGCAACACCACTGCAGCATAACGTTCTGCAACTGTTATCTGAAATGTGACCTCAAAATTCCGCAGCCCATTTCTCCAATTCCTTCTCCTCGCTCTCCTCCCAACTCCTTGCTTGTCGACTTTGCGTTTGCCTCAGCTTTGTTCTTTCTCCTTACCCTTCTTTCCTTAGTTGTTTGAACACTTTCATTTATTAAACTCTGTTTCTGTGGCATAACTCAAAACAACGCTAGCATCTAAACATGATCCGAGAACAATCAAGGAAAACGGTCGCATCCGGTTGGTGCTTGCATGGCCATGTAGCAAGAGCATGACTTACTATGTTTGCCATCAAACACCGCCTGCCCGCTGGGAGACACGGGATTGCTGTAGCAGTATACAAATTGCACGTTTACATATAGGGAAGTGGCTGCTCAAGTGAGAACTCTTGTGTGTGCTGAACACCATTCATATCGCATCCTGATTTCTGGAAAAGTGGGCTAGCGACCAATCCTTCACCTCAGGAGATGCAAGGAACACAGACTTGCACGGATGCTTTTTTCAGCGTGCACTGTGCAGAACTCCATGGCTATTCTGTGGTACGAGAACCTGTGTGAACGAATGGGTTTGTGAGCTCTCTCTCTCTCTCTCTCTCTCTCTCTCTCTCTCTCTCTCTCTCTCTCTCTCTCTCTCTCTCTCTCTCTCT